TTTTATTTAAAAAAAAAAAAGAAAAGAAAACTAACTTGATGTTATTGATATTGGTGATAATAGAAGGTTCATGGATATTTAATGCAAATATAATTGTTATACTACCAAGTATATAAAAACTTCAATAAGTTTTAGTAAGTAAATGATGAAAGTTCTAAAAAGTCTTTGATAAGAATTCTATCAAATCCTCATAAAGTTGATCAAAGTCATTATTGTTTATTAATTCAACCAAAAAAAAAAAACTATCAAAATTCAAATTTAACTCAACTTTAATTCAACTCTACTATCCTCAATATTATCAATATAATTTAATAATATCAACCAACCATTCTTATACATCACATCAACTTTAATTCACTATTCATCATCTCACATAATTTTAACTAATCATCACTTCCAATCATTTTTTCCTACTTTATATGAAATTAACTTTAATTATTTTATTTAAATATTATTTTAATATATTCACTAACAACTAACAATAACATATTTTTTTTTTTCAAAATGAACTATAATTAAAAAAATAAACCAAATAAAAACTAGTTGAATCCATAAACAATCACCCCTTAAATGTTATGTTTGGTAAAACTACCTGATCAGCTAGTTGATAGTTGATAAGCTAACTTATAGATTATAAGTGATTTTCAAGCTTATAACTTATACATCGTGACTTATAGCTAAAAAACTGGTTTATACTATAAAAAGTGTTTGTTAAAATTAGCTGATAAGGTAGCTGAAATAAAAATTTCAACGAGTTCATTTGAAAAGCTACTCAAAGAAGCTTATTAGATAACTTCGAACTTTTAAAAAAATATCATCCTACCAAACGAATCTTATTTGAATAAAAAAAAATTATAAGCTAACCAAATAAACACAAGACTCACATACGACAGATACGACGAGACAAACACATAAAAACTACAAAGCTCCCAAATGGAGAATAAAAATCAAAATGATCCCAAAGGGATAATATCCGCTCACACTCAGGCACAAACAGAGACCAACTGACCAAACCAAAAGCACGAGATCTAACAACACAAAGCAAACAAAAAACACACCTAAACAAAAGAAACACCTAAACTAGAGCCCTTCTCCACAACATGATAAAGCTCCACAACAATCCCGCCACCGTAACCGAGAGCTCCAACCCAAAGGGAAAAGCTTATTGAGCCAAGCACGGAGACCTGAAAATGCAGAAAACACCTAACAAGATTTGATACACCGACCCCAAAACTCTCCCAGTTAGTCACCCACATACCAGTCGACGAAGGTCAGCCCTAAACCCACACCACCTCTCCAACCGACTGCACGAAAATGACCGTCAACCAGTGCCCTCAACCATCACCATCTGCAAATTTCGACTCTCAGCCACCGGAACATCTGATACTCCCTCCACATCACCACTGCCGAGCCTTGACTAACACCACTAGCCATATGACCGAACACCAGCCCTTCTCTTCCCCAACCACAAAGCGCAGAGGAGAAAGGGACAAGTTGGCGCCACCGCTCCGGCTCCACTTCGAGAACGGGGCAAGCCAAACGAGTCATGTCTCACTCCCGGTACTTCACCCCGACCAAATCCTCTGCAAGCCCGAGAAGCTAACGACTAGAGCCCACAAATGGCACTTGGAAATGCGGAATTCGGCCATGAAAGCCTTCCGAATCTCTAGTGCATAAAACACGGGGAGTGCAACACCGGGGTTGAGTCCAAGCGGCCGAGAGCCAACCCCACCGACAAAAACTATATATCTCGTAGCCACCGGCACGGCCAAATCAGATCAGCAGAATCCACCTTACCAACACCAAATAAGAAAGAAAAAAAGGAAGAAGGGAAGGGGGAGAGGGAGGAAAGGGATTAGGGTAGACGGGGATTTTTGAGAGAGAAAGAATTCTTTTTATTTTGTTGTTGAAATAAAAATTTCAACGAGTTTATTTGAAAAACTACTCAAAGAAGCTTATTAGATAACTTCGAACTTTTAAAAAAATATCATCCTACCAAACAAATCTTATTTGAATAAAAAAAAAATTATAAGCTAACCAAATAAACTATAAGTTTATTTGACTACCAAACATATAACCAAATCTCACAAAGTCCACCAAAATTAATTATATTAAAAAGTATTAGAAATTTAAATACCCCCTAAATTTAAATTAATATAAAAATATAATAAATGACTAAAAAAATCTGTTCAGTGTTCACTCTTGTGGCTTATGTAATTTACAGATAAAAAAAAAAAAATATATATATATATATATATATATATTCGAACCCAATAATATTATGGGAAATGCTACTACGGTCTTGTTACGGAACAATTTCGTCGGAGTTTGTAATCATATGATCAACTATCCCCGATAATTACATAATGATCTAACGGTTATAAATTCCGACAGAATGGTTCCAAAACGGACTGATCTCTCAAGAATAATATTCGGTATTTGCACAAAATAAGAATAGCAGAACGCTGCGAAGCCCAGAAAAACTTCCCTCGTTCTTCACGTGCCGCACACCGCAGCACACACAGAGGCACAAATTTCACCATTTTCAGTTCTTCAACTTTCTGGGTTTACCTGAAAGTGTGGTCGTCGTAGCTGCTGAGCGATGGCTTTCTCTCAGACTTTGCCATCTTCTTTTGCTCCCACCTTTGAGAAATCTTCAACCCCACCTCCAGTTTCCATATCTTCCTCTGTCTCTTTCCGTTTTTGCCCTCCATTTCTCCACCGCAAGAAACCCCTTTTATCGATCAGGTCGGCCGCTGTGGAAGGTAAGGTTTTCTCCCCCCTTATGTATGTGATTCATTAATTTATGTATTATTACTTCTGTTTTTTTCCCTTTTTGATGGCCGTGGACTTTAGGGAGTAATGGATATGATGGGCTAATATAAGAATTTTTTGTATTATTATTGTTGTTGTTAGCTGTAGAACTTGTGCTCTGGAGAAAATTTTATGTTCGATATTGATGTTGGTGAGCAATTTTACGGTGAAACTATGGATGTAGAAGCGAAATGGGCAGCGAAGAATTCATGGGCCGAAAAAGGGGGAGAATGAATGAAGAATCACTAATGGGTCCTAAAGAAAGAAAATTTGTATCTTTCAGTGTCATGAGGATCCTAAGTTCGGATATGTGGTGGTTGGAATTGTTAGTTTATTTACTTAGAAACTGATAATGAGCTATATCTTTTGATAAAAGATGAACATTCCCTCGATTTTAAATGTGCACACATAACCAGGTGCACATTTTGTTTTGCTAAGAGGGAGTGCTTTGAGTTAGAATGAATACGATAAGGATAACTGGAAACCACCTTCATACTCCACAAAATGGTGCATTAAGATTCTTCTGCGCCCTTTAACTTGGCCCTTCTGCACAACTATCTCCCTGTATGGCATACACGCCAAGTGTTCTTGATTGTGCGTAAAGGTATCAAAGATCTACTATCATATCATATGCCTAGATGACATATATTTAAAAACATAGGTGCATTCGGTGGATTAGTATATTGGTAATGGTTTCATCTAAACAATTGAACATCCAATCGTTATAACTTGTTGACGAGCTTTCATATGCCACTTACTATGTATAACTTACTAGTTGTGCTTTAATGGTGTTAATGATGGTATTTGTAAATAGATTATGATAATATGTACTAACTTCGATCATTCAATGAGTTCATTTTAGCTTACTTTTCTCTTGTTTTTTCTGTTATATATGTATATATATATATATATATATTTTTTTTTTTTT